TACTATTTTACACAATAGATAAACAAAAATATTAATAATTATACAAGATTGATGTTTTTTAGTCAATATGTAATTGTTACTATATTATCTTATTCTTAATCTAATGTATTACCAAATATTGAATTATAATGCGTAATATTTTTGTGTTACATTTAATGATATATTTTATCCACCTATACAAAATTAGTCTATATTACCAGTATAATCTATTTATTTACGATACTACAACCAAACAAGCCTGTATTGTATCAGCATATTCATATTCATACATTTAAAAGTGAAGGTAAACCCATGCTTTTAATAGAATTAATAATAATCAAAAAAAAAAAGAGTAATGTTATTGAAATTTAAAAATTTGACATAATTTGTTGATATAATGATGTAACTTTATTGAAACAATTGGATTAACACCAAATTTCAATATTTGATGGAGCTCACAATCAAACCAAAGGTTATAGTGAAATTACCTCAGTATGTCAGCAAATTATATCAGATTTTTAGGTCCCCATAACATTACTCAAAAAAAAAATGTGAAAAGAATAATATTGTGAAAAATAATTTTTAAAAACTGGATATATTTTAATTATTGATTCCTAGAAATGAGTTGTCATATTATCAAATCTCAACTCAATGGTCGAATACAATAACTTTGTTTTTTTTTTTTTTTGTTATTCTTTGTTAGTTAAATGTGCATTATTGTGCTACCGCTATTCTCGATAAAACCAAACTTCTACTCACATAAAAATTATTAGAAAATCACATTTCTTAAAAAATTATAAAAACAAAATGAAAGATAAAAAAGATTTAAAAATACACAATTTAACTGAGACAAGTAATAAATTCAGATATCTTGAATTCGAATTTTGATAATTCATTGGGGTTAAATCATGAGGAATTTATTCCCCATGAGTATTATAGTTCCGGCGTGAATGGTCTATTTTTGATCAGGCCGAAAATAAGATTAATCAAAATACATGTAATTTAACTTGAATACTTTTTATCGTTGAACAAAAAAAAAATGCGTCACGCGAGAGTTTCACCTATTAAACTGCAGAATTTAAGTAATATTGTGCTTTTTTAAAAAAAAAATTAGGAAATAAGTTTAGAAGCACATGGTTTTGAAAAAACAAAAAGTTACCTAAACTTTCCTATTAGAAGAAAAAAATTAAAAAATTCTCAAGGGTACTTCCGAGAATTAAATAAATAAAGAAGGTCATTAACGACAAAAGCAAATACCCCACGTTTACTGTAAAAATAGATAGAAATACAAGAACATTACAATAACAAGAATAGCAGGTGATTTTCCATTGGAACTCTCTCTCTCTCTCCCTTTCTCTATTTATCAGAGATTTTTCTATCAGCGTCTCGCAGATCTATCCATCATTCTTGTCCTGATCAACCCAGAATTCGGTTAGTTTTTCTTCATTACTGAAAACTCTAAACAATCTAGTTTCCTCGTTTTATCTTCTTTCTTTCTTTTTTTCTATATATATACCAGTTCTTGTCTATGGCACGAATTTACATACATAAATGCATGTAATAGCCGTTTAAAGAAAAACTATATTGGTGGGTTTTCTATGGATTGTAAATAACGATGATCGCGGTATTATGTGACTCGATATTAAAGTTTTCATTAATTGGTATAGGAGTCCAGATAACATTGGAATTTGATTGCCATTAACATCCAAAGGTCACCTTGGAAGCTCTGGAGTTTGTTGATGGTAAAAAGGTACCGATTTGATTTGGTTTTCTTTTCAATATTTCCTCTTTTATGAGTTTTGTTGGAGACCCACCATGAATTATTTACAGAATTATGTTCCATTTGGTTTGTTGTGTAAGTGGGTTTGGTTTATCCTCTGTTTGTTTGCCTTGAAAGTGAATATTGTGCCATTCTGCTGTGTCTTTTTTTCGGTTTCTCACAATGGAAAAACTCAATCTTGAGAAAAGATAAAAAAAAAGAAAGAAAAAGAAGAAGGTAGAAAGTAATAACTCAACTAATTTGCATACTTGCAACAGACCATGTTAGATAGCTGGGAATTAAAATTTTGGGATTTACAAGAACTTTTATTTATTATTTTTTGTATGATATGCAAGAGTTAGAAGTCTTTTTTTTTTCTTTTTCTCCCTCTTTTTTTTTCACAATCTATGAGCCTGTAAATGGAGCCTTTCTATTAATTATGGTGCCTTGTATTTATCTGCAGGAATTCACTAGAAAGATCAAATTTGTCGTGTTCTTATTGATGTTGGAGTTTTTAAACATTGTTTTCTGATTTGGTTGAATTTATAAAGTAGATTCGAAGTTACCTCAGGATATTGTTATTGAGTTACTTTTCGGGTTCATATAGCTACGATTTGATTTTGTTGGGAAACATTGCAACAACAAAACTTCAGTTATAGGAGTGTTTTCAATTATCCATGCTCATAATGATTGGGCTGGAACCATTTAGCTACCAGTTGATTTTGTTGGAAACATTGCAACGACAAAACTTCAGTTAAAGGAGTGTTTTCAATTATCCATGCTCATAGTTATTGGGCTGGAACTTAACAATAAAGAACCATCATTGTACTAAAAGTGAAGTTTGAGTGGTACTTCATAAATATATGCAATGTCTTTTTCTTCCCAGGTACAGTGCTGAATTTCCAAAATTTATACTTGGCATTTCACTATTCTTAAGGCAGTTACTGCCCTAGTTTTGGCCTTAACTTTTGTCTCATCTTCTCAACTGATCCACTTTAATAAAACATCTTTGAGGCAAAGATTGAGATTGTGTGAGCTATTTCAAGAATATTCCTTCTTGATAGGTTTAGAATATGTAATTGGATTTGAATTTCTAACGTCATTAACCGGTGTAAGTCCAAACTATGCATTTTCTTTTTACTTCTTCCCATGAAATTGTTGCATCATCATTGCTTTGAACATTTTTTTCACTTCAAATGTCCTTTTGAACACTTACTGGATGTCCTCCTTGCATGACTGCTTAATAATATAACACCCCCAACAAACTTAGATTGCATTGTGTGGTTTAGAAAGAAATCATTGAGTTGAAATTGCAGAATATGCAGACAATAGCAACTTCCAAGTGAAAGAATGGATTTCCTCAATGATGTGTTCATTACTGATGAATAGATGGATTATAGACTTTCATAATAAGCAGCGGTTCCCTCTTAGATTGTGTCAGGAAAATCTGAAAAGTGCCTTTTGGTGGTGGGCTATTCAGTTTTTTGATTATCCATCTAGTTTGGACTTCTTTTATTGCTTTATTACTAAAAACTTTTACTCTACAATGCATAATTACCTTTGTGGAGGGCATATTTGCTAATTAGTCGGTTGTTGATAACTGCAGGCTCTTGTGATGGAAACAAAATTTTATTGTGAAAAGATTGTTATCAGTAGGGTCCATGCTGTTCTGCAGCCAAAAAAAATGACCAGAAAGTTGGACGGGTCCACTCTTTTTTGCAGCGAGTCCACATCCAGTTACATAAATTGTGAATTAATTCTAAGAAAATGATAAATCAATAAATTTGGTGTGCTCTTATCTACAGTTGCCTTGTTGGATGGTTGAGATATTAATCAATTCGATGTTAATCACTACACAATTCTTTCCTGAAATATTTATTTTTGTCTTTTGAATTCAATGCACAGGTTGGTTCCTTATCTTGCTAATGGGTATGGCTAGCAACATTACCCATTATATAGGAGTCTGGCTCAAACCTGCAGAATATTTTTGTTCGAAGTAGAACTATTATGTAGGCTGTGTACATCCAAAATTTTTAAAAGTGACATGTCGGGGATGAAAATTTTAATTGTTAAATGAGTGATGGAGTGATTAAGTGATTAAGCTGCATCTATAGACATAATATTTTTGTTTTCTTTGTGATTCTACCTTTAGTAGTTTTCAATTTTTCATACTTCTAGAAACTAATGTGATGAAAATCATGATGATGTTTGGGGAGGAAACCATGTACAAATTGTGTTTACAAAAAGGTAAGAATGGCTGACTTGGCTGTGTTATGTATGATTGAGTTTCAGCTATTTTAGCTAAGTCTAGATTTAGGTAAGGTTTGATTTGTTAGGATAATCATTATATTAGAAGTATCATGGTGGTGAAGTTACTTTGGATTGAGCAATTTATTTGGGGACCTAGTTACTCTGGTTTTATATACTGCTGTAATTGTGATTTTCAGTGGTGGTTTTGGTAAAATAAAACGGTCGATTAAATGTTCAATTTCTTTTTTTCCTTGCCGGTCTTGGTTTAAGCTTCATAGCTTGTAGGATTGAGCCTCCTCTTACTGTAATTTGGCCTTTTCTTTTTCCTATTTTTGGGCCTTAATCTTAGTCCTTTCATGTCCACCTTTTATTTGAGCTGTCAGTTTCATGCCATGCTGCATCAGAAACTTGGTATATGATTAGCAAATCTCACATCATATTAGCATCATGGCATGAATTTAAGTCTTTCCATATTATGTAATGTGAACTTTCTAAATCCATATAAAACGTCGTAAGGAATGTACACAATTATGACAAAAATGTAATTTATGCGAAATACGTATTCTTAGAAGCAATGTTCAGTTATAACCCAGTTACAATTTATATTCTTGTGATCCATTATTGAAAATTGTTACTGGGAAATTAGTAGCTGCTTTGTTGTGACAAGTTGTAGAATTAAGTTTTGAATGAGAATTTGAAAAGTTCTTAATGAAGGTTTAGGGTTGCTTGCTGAGATGCTAAACCTGCGTAATAGTTCTAGAAGGCAGGAAGAAATCATTTGGGTTGGTTTATTGAATTTTAATTTTGATTCTTGAAGTGGAATGTGTGTTTGAAAACTAATCCTTTTCAAAGTTTTATGTGAGGAATTATGCTATGTTAGATCACCTGATGAGTTAATTACTCGTATTTTTTTTCCCAAAGTCCAAGAATTTATCTCAATATGGAAAGTTGTGGTATAACCATATGAATATGTGACATATTTGACTGCATTTCTGTTGGTCTGGGTATTTTTATGAACATTAAGTTGCCACTTAAAACAGGAATTATTCACAACAAATTGTTCAACATGGGTCAAAGGAATATGCTGTATGCTAGTCAGATGATTGAATTGGAAAGGGAGCAATATGACCATGGACATCTTAATCCTGAACCTTGTGTTATTTACGGGAGCATAACAAATTTCCCACCTCCAAATATCCACACGGTGGCACCAACTCCAGTAAATCCCGCTAATTTTGATGTCCGTCGTCTACCAGAGAATCATGACAGTGCATTATTTTATGGAATGATGCAGTACAATGGTGTTCAACATCATCAGCCTGCTGCTGGTCATGACTTAGCTGTAGCAAATCACTATGCTCCATACATGACTCCCGCGTCTGGTACCAGAGTTTTCCCTATCCCTCAAAATCAAGGGTCATGTGATCAGTTGCCATTTTCGAGCAATCATGGAATTATTGGAGTTTCTACAGACAGCTATCGAAGGAGTAGTCACCTTGTTGATGGTCACAGAGGTGTATTTAAGAGAAAGAATGCTGAAGGCATCCGTGGGAATTTTCAGGGTTGTAATGCTTCAGCAGGCTCTAGTTCTGCAGTTACCCATATGAGTTCAAGGCCTCGTGAATCAGATGTTACTTTGATGGATGCGGCATCTTTTGCACTTCCTGAGTATGGAAGGAATGATGCCTTGTCAGTCGTAGAAGTTGGATCCCACAGAGGTGTGAGAAATATATCTGATGCTATTGGTCTCGATTCTGTGATGGCACATGGTACTAACCACATTACTCAAGGAAATTATATGGGTCAGCCGTTTCAAACAGCCGGCACTCCTTGGTTAGACACACAGTTTAGTTGTAATGGTGGTGATATTCACACTTTTACCTGGAATCAGGCACCCACTTTACCCTATCTGCACGGTAATTTAATCACTTCTTATATTTATAACCTCATCTACATGGCTGTGTTTCTTCCTTTTTCTGTTGCTTTCTAATTGCTGATTAGAAGTCTGCCCAATGGCTGCTGAATCCCCAGAAAATGGAAGTTATGTTCCATTCATGTCAATGCTCATTTTTTTGGGTTTTAGAATTTGGTAGAAGTTTTGTCCCCCATTTTGAACTGTTGTAAGTAGAATGATATATATAACCATTTTCGGGTGGCAACTTTAATGCTATTGCCAGTTTCCCAAGTGAAGAAAGAATCAAGGCCTGAGGAAACTAGTTATATTCGCTTCTTAGTATTATTGATATATTATAAATTTTAGCATGGTGAACTAATTGAAAACCTCTCGCTCTCTCATATAATTTCAGGGAGCATCAATTCTGGTCTAATGGAGGCTGGGAACATGTGTGTACAAGGATATCATGTCACAGCTAGCAATAGAAGTTCCACAAGTTATCTGCATCCTCCTCCCATCCCACAAGGACACCCCAATCTTCATCATCCACGACCACCACCACCACCACCCTCTCACTCACAGCCACAGCCACACCCACCTATGCAAGGGGTGAGAGGCCACAATATTGACTTGCATTCTCAAGTGGTAACATCCTCACGCAGGCATTCCACAAACAGCACCTCACACATCAGTAGGAATCCTGATGGTGTAGAGGCAGGACCTAGATTTGTAGGGCCCGTTGCACCAACTAGCTTTGGGATATACCGCCCTTATCAGAGGGAAGCCATGTTTGAAGCAAACTCAAGGCAGCGTACCCTTCCTCAGTTCAGAGTTCTACCAGAAGATGTAACACTCTCCTCTGCTTAAAAAATCCCCCTTTGTTTCTGTCATAATTTACTATTTCATTTCATGTGAAGCATAAGGTATACTTGTGATTATTGACTGTGTGTATTCTGGGTTGGTGTGTGTAGGGAGTTGCCATGCTTGATGTTCCAAGCTATCATGAAGTAAGAGATTTCATTGATCATCACAGAGATATGCGCTTGGATATTGACCACATGTCTTATGAGGTAAATGTAGCAAGTCCATTGGCTTGTTCTTCCACCATGACAGTACCTTGACAATCAATGCAGAGAAAGTCAATTACTCAGAGTACACGAAAAGGCCCCCCATCCCTTTTCTTTTCCTTTTCCCACACCATATGGATCTATCTGGATGTATTAGAGCAGTTAATGGATATTGGTTTAAGCTTTCAGCAAGCCTTTTACATTGTGTTTATTTATATTTTGGATTAATGAGATCTATGCGAATTAAATTCCTTAACTTTTTATAATTCAATGCCAGGAGCTTCTTGCACTTGGGGAACGGATTGGAAGTGTAGGCACAGGATTGTTGGAGGAAAATATTCTGAGTTATCTAAAAGCGAGAACATTTATTTCGTCCAGAACTTGTTCCAATGGGGAGGAGGCAGAGAATGTGGACCAGGAAATTGATTTTTGCGTTATATGTCAGGTATAACAATACCTCTGACAATATATCTCTAGCAATTTTTATTTGAATAATTTTTATGTTCAGGGTATATTCAAGTTTATCATCTTAATTAGTAAAGTCACAACTTTTTCAATATAATTAGCAACTTTATTTTAAGAAGATCAATATTTGATTATATGTTGATGGTGTAATGTGCATTGGTGCTTATTCCTTCTCTTTTTCCTCTTCTCATTCATGACTTTTGTTTTTTTAAAAAGTTGTACACAATCCACAAGATACCCGCATGAGGTAAGTGATAGGCAGTGAACCCGCGACAACAAATAAGAGGTCTGACCTCTTAGAAATTATATCATGTTTTTTCAACCTTGGGAGTTATATGTAGAAGTTCTTGCTTTCATTATCAACTTCTAAATCTTCCTCATCGATTTCCTTTTTCTCGATTTTGACTTCCAAAAGCAACTACTTTCGGGTAATTTATAATTTCAAAAATATGGTGGTGTTGTCATGGTTGGTGTATTCATTACATAAAGAAGCATATGTGCCCTGGGATAAAAATTTGCCTTCTTCTGTTGTTACTACTGTCACTTGCTCGTTTTATTTTTATCGAAACTGTTGTATTATTTATGCCCTGGGATAAAGCCTTGATTTTGGGAATGCTAACGTAGAATCATTCTCTAATTGACGATGACATTTTTTATATGGTCATCCCTATTGCACAGACCAATTATAAAGATCAAGAGAAGATTGGAACTCTCGATTGTGGGCACGAGTATCATGTAGATTGCATCAAAAAGTGGCTGCTTGTGAAGAACACTTGCCCCATCTGCAAAACGTCAGCATTGACTACAGAAAGAAAGGATTAGCAAATGGGCTGATGAATGGAAGTTTAATTTAAACGACTCTCCCATTGTTTTGCTACTCGTTATCTATGTCGAAGAGGAGGTATTTTTTCGGATATTCTATATGTGTATATACTTGCAGAGATATAAGGTCCATTACTCCCTTAAATACATTTATTTGTTGGCATCGTGTCTGTCTATCAAGTTGTACAGACTTTTCGCATGATTCCTGTGTTATATACACTGGGAATGTTGAAGATAACACAATTTAATGCGAGAATTCATTAATTCTTCTTGTGGTATGGATTCCTCCGAATGATATTGCCTTTAAATTTTCCTTAGTCTTTTTCTGAAACTCTATGCCATTTCCATCAGTTCATGCAATTGAGAGAGGTAGGAAAGGTAAGAAATTAGGAAAGTAGGAATGATAATCAACTTGTACCATCTTATGAAACACCAAGCTCCACAATGTTGTGGCAGCCATGAATTAGTTGTGACATTACACAAAGCCCTTCGTCCCGGTGCATCCAGGCATGGAAACCCACTATTTAGAGAAACCCACACAGGGTAGTTGCTAATAGCAAATTTGAGAATATGGGTGTATCTCAACTGTTCGTTTTCTTGATCGATGTCATGGATCGATCGAAGATTAAGCCTGGATTTCTGAAAGAGGGTGTCCAAGGTTGCTGAAAGCCATGAACTGACATACATATGGAGGACCAAACAGCTGGTGATCAAAGCGCAGACATGACAATATCTTTTGATAATATGTGTGGGTTTAAGTAATGCCATGGTAGGACCTGCGAAAAAATAGTCTTAAGAAGCCTTCATCATATCAACAAGAACTTGCTTGCATTTTTTCTTGCTATAACCAAGAACCATCTCAACTACGAGTCCTTTGAATTCACAGTTACGTAAATTCCATACAATCCCGCGAACCAGACACAACCATCGAGACATTTAAAAATAACTTGCTCAAGTTAACCAGTATGGAAGATCAGAAAAATAGAAACACTTTGCTGGCAAGGTCCCATCTCCAAATCTAATCAGTTTTGTCACCATGAAAGCATAAAACGGAGTCGTCAACCCCTCCACCTCTACTTCCTATATTGGTCACCTCGTAGATGGATGCAGATTTACCACGAAGAAACTCTAAACTGAAAACTTTCTAAGGCAGGTTGCAATTGGATCACAGATCATCAGGGATCTCTTATTGCCTGCTTAGGATGATGCAATGCGATTTTTTAGTTTTTCCACAATGCTTTATGTATTCATAATAAAATACAGTATCGTTGAGATAACAACTCACCATTTTAACAACCAATGTTAAACTTACGACTCGGTCAAATACATGAGTCAGTAATAGTCCCGATATTAATATGGTGCAACAAAATACAATACAAACAAGAAGAAGTAAACAAATGAAACAATACATATGGGGGAAACTTGAGAAAATACTAAGAAATTGCAATCTGTGAGCAGGAGAATCTCCATACCGCATTTCGTTATATGCTTCAAATTGACGACCAACCTCAGATAAGCTCAAGAATCTTTGTATTTGAAAATGAAATAGTGGATATATAAATAAGAAATTGAGTTTGAATCTGGGTTCTTACAAGTTTAGGCAAAGAACGACTGTCTATCGCTCATCAATCCTTTACTCTGGTGGTTAGACAGAACAGCAACCAACTTTTTTTACAGCCGAAACATCGTCCTTGTTCCCAACATTGATGGTTTGCCCTTTAGGCAGGGCTGCAGGGTCATCTCCAATATCAAGAGCTTTCCGGCTGACCACACGATATATTTGTGTGAGCACCTCTGTAAATGCATTCTCGACATTCATAGACTCGAGGGCAGATGTCTCCATGAAAAATGTTCTCTCTCTCTCAGCAAAGGCCTTTGAATCCTCAGTGGAAACAGCACGCAAGTGACGTAAATCTGCCTTGTTCCCCACAAGCATTATCACAATATTGGAGTCAGTGTGATCTCGGAGCTCTTTTAACCATCTCTCAACATTCTCAAATGTGACATGTCGGGTGACATCGTAAACAAGCAATGCACCAACAGCCCCTCGGTAGTATGCACTTGTGATTGCACGGTATCTTAGCAAAAAAAAAAAAAGATAATTATTCTCAGAAGCAAAATTCACAGACTAATCTTTGCATGAAAAAATAATGGTCAAAAGTAAGAGTACAAATGTCTTATATAGCAATGAAAATCATGCAACCAGAGTCTAACATGCAAGAAAAAGACCGGGATAAAACTTACATTGCAAGAGGAAATTGCAAGATACCTTCAAACAGATATCACAAACATCAGACAAATTCTTACATATCAAAGGGTGATCCTGATAAACCACCTCTTAAAACATTCAAAGACAAAAAGAAAATGGGAAAAACAAATAAAGAAACACCCTTCTTCTAAAAGTAGAAAGAGAATTCTCATTCTAGAACTTCATATACCTAACAGATCAGCATCCCATCATTTTCCCTCACTTTAACCATCCAATTCCTAGACTTCAAATGCTACTGGGCCAACAATGCAACAATGTACAAGCATCCGCACATACATACACACACACACAATTAAAAACATATATATAAATATAGGGGTGTGTGTGTGTGTGAGAGAGAGAGAGAGAGAGAAGCTAAATAAAATATTAAAGCAGGGAAATTTGAGGTCAAATTAAACAAAAAAAATTGTTATTCTATACATGGAACCTGCAGGAGGCCATGTTCCACTCTGCTCACACATAAAATTCTTTGTAATCCAACATAACCCCAAGAAAAATCAAGAGCAATTCATCAATATGCACCAAGCACCACTGCTAAAAGAGATGGGAACTTGATTAGACCTCATGGTCATAACAAACAGTGCCCTATGTATCGCATACAATCCTAGTTCAAACACTGTTCGAATACCATTAACAAGTGCAATGTCAATGCCAGGAAAGTTATAATCTCAACTATTTGGAAGAAACATTCATCTTCAAGCATCCACTGCTTAATTAAAAAGCCAACTACAGTCAACGTGTTAAAAACTAATTGCCATTTTAAGAACTACCAGTTCCATTACAACACCAAAAGTCAATCAGAGCCGCAGCTGGCTATCTCAAAATTTAGTATATGCATGTGTAATCAAGAAGGAAGTAGATCCTATATACACAGTACCTAACCCACAGGTAGATAACCAAGTGTTTCAAAATCAAATCCAATTCTCACATGAAAGATCTTATATTTATTTACAACACTCTTGATCTGATAGCACTAACCCTGATCATCACTATATCACCCAGAAACATAAGCAAATCACATATCTCAAGCGATGGAAATGCAAACATAATTTCTTAGCAACTGCCCAGAAAATTACGAAAATTGAAGAGAGAGAGAGAGAAAGAGAGAGAGAGAGAGAGAGAAGTGAGAATAGAACCTCTCTTGGCCAGCAGTGTCCCAAATCTGGGCCTTGACGATCTTGTCATCGACACGAATACTCCTGGTGGCGAATTCGACACCGATTGTGGATTTGGATTCGAGACTGAACTCGTTCTTGGTGAATCTCGAGAGCAGATTGGATTTACCCACACCGGAGTCTCCTATCAAGACCACCTTGAACAGGTAATCGTAGTCATCGTCGGCTCTGTACGCCGCCATCTATGTCAATTCAAACCCTTTCTGCTTCTCTCTATTGAAAAAGTTCCTTGAATCTCACAGATCAAACCTCAAAAACTACAACTACTTGTGTATTTTCCTGCTACACATATAGAAACTAATCGCACAGATGCAAAGTGGTTTTCACGGAGCTAGCGAGAGAGAGAGAGAGAGAGGATTCAGAGTTTAAGAAGCCATAGTTATTGTATGGGCTGGCAACACCGCATGAGAAAATGAAAAGGCAACCTCGAGCGCTACAACTGAGTTATAAATCGAGACATACTGAAATTGAAACTTGATCATTCTTTAGAGAGGATAGACTTTCATGAATTTTTTTACTCTACGGATAACTTATTTTTTATTTTATCAGATTATAGAGGAGATTAACCGAGTTGCGTATTAATTAATTTAAATAAAATATGACACTAGTTAATACGATACAAAATTAAAAAGTTTAAATTTTTTTTAAATCACTCATTTCTTAAACGAGTGAATCCGATAAATGATCAATTCAAGAGTTAGAGAGTACAATATAATCGGGTATAGATAAACTCAATTAAAAAAATATATGACATGACTCATTTATATATCTGTTATATAAGATTGATACATTACGAATCTAATATGACATGACTTGTTAGATACGAATTAATAAATAAATTAAACATGAAGTTACAAATAAAATATTTTTTAGGATTAATTATAAATTACACCCAGAAAAAATCGTTTGAATCTCAATTTGTACCCTTAAAGATAAAGAATCTCAATTTGTACTCTTAAAGATATAAATTTATATTAATGTGCGCCCCCAATGATCAAAAATCTCAATTTACACCCTCAAAAATAGAAATTTGTATCAATGTGTATTCTCAAATATCAAAAATCTCAATTTGCACCCTCAAAAGATAGAATTTTGTATCAATGTGTACCTAAAACTAATCGCCGTCAGTTTGTTGCCTAAAATTAAATTGATAAATTATAGCTAGATCCTCTCATGTTTGTTACTTAATCATTTGGACCTCTTCATATTTAAAATATTATTCCTACATCTTGTGACGTTTGTGCACATATAACACGTAACCCATTTTAGTTGATATCTGTTGATATAACCTTTAAAAAATATGATTTTATCCTAATAAATAATTATAATTTTATATTACCCTTTATTTTATGGGTCCGATATACTTTAAAGTTCAAAATTAAGTTTATCATTTGAATGTCCAATAAAATAAAAGTATTTATATAATATTTTTTATATCTAATGCAATATATCACTTAAACATAATTATTTGAATGCCCATTTGGGGTGACATTTTAGATTGAGAGTATTTTTATTAGGATTTTATGACCGTTAAAAGATATGATTTTATTATAATAAAAAATTATAATTTCATATTACCCTTTATTTTGTGAAGAAGTTCAAATGATTAAGTAACAAACATGAAGAGATTTATGTATAATTTATCAATTTAATTTCAGGCAGCAAATTGACGGCAATTAGTTTTAGGTGGACATTGATACAAATTTTTATATTTGAGGGTGTAAATTGAGATTTCTGATTTTTGGAGGTAAAAATTAAAATTCGAACGATGTTCCAAAATATAATTTATAACTAACCCTACTTTTTAACAAGAACTCGCTTCATCCGACACAAAAGACAGGGTACTAAAAATATTAAAAGTGTTCAGAATAAAAACATAGGAAAGTGGTAAAATTGGTAAATCAATTCAACTACTCTGCAGCATTTGGTTAAACCTGATCTACCAAACTCTGGGTTTGATATTGTTTGGTTATGCTCTAATGTTCAATTGGGTTTTTTTTTTTAAAGTATTTTTTTACCATTTATTCTCAATAATCTTCTCTTTCCTGAAATTGGTGGTGTACTTGTTGATAAAAACATTAACCTTTTTTTTTCATAATACTACATCAAATTAAGATCCTTACAGTCCTAATATCTATGTTGTGTTATTAGAAAATCTATTTTGAAAATAATTAGGTTTCGCTTTAATTCATGTTAGATAATTTAATGTTAATGGAATTAAAGAGAATTAGAACTTCATGGCTAAGCCATTGAAAATAATCATTAATTCATGAAATTGGTAAAGAAAATTAAATTGTAGATGCTGATTAGAATCAAGGATCAAAATTTTTTTGGGTGCATTGTTTCAGACACCTAAAAAACAAAAATATTTCAACGTGTTTTGAAAAAATAAATAAATAATTTAAAATTTATTTTTTTAAAACATTGGTTAAAATATATTTAAGTATCTTGAAATACCTCATTGAAACATTACAAAATATCTCGAAACATTATGAAACATCTCGAAGTATAAAGATTTTTGATTTTATCGTTAATTCGTTTCAGTTTTTTTAGAAATGAAAATATTTTGAATATTTCGAAACAAAATTTTAATCGTTGATTGAAATGCCTGTCAAAAAGAAGTTAATTTTCAAGATGATAATAACAAATCAAGTCTTATATCCCAATTATTTGGGGTCAACTATATAAGTCCATTTTCGCCATTCATTTCAATCATGCGCTATACGCTCATTTAAGTTAATTATTATTTTTTTTTTATTATTTCATTCAATATTAATTTAGGTCTACTCCTACTTTTAATATCATTAAAAGAAATTTTATCACTTTTTCGAATCGATGTCTCTATCGACCTTTGTTGAACATGACCAAACCATCTTAATCTATTCTCTCTTAACTCATTCTCAATTAGAACTATTCCTACTATTTTTCTAATATGACAATTTCGAATTCTATCTTTTCTAATTTTTCCACACATTCAATTTAATATTCTTGTTTCCGCTATACTCAATTTGTCACTATGTTGCTTCCGACTGCCTAACATTTCATTATGCACAACATTGTTGTCCATATAATTATTTATTAAAAATTACCATTCAATTTTATTAATATCTTTAAATCACATAATATGCCAGAGACTTTCCTCCACATAAGTCGACTAACTTTGATTCTATGAATTACATCATCTTCAATCTCTCCATCATTTTTAATAATCAATTTTAAATAACTAAATCGTTTACTTGTTAATATTTCTTAATTTTTAATCTTAATTTTTTTCACCATGTCTATTTTTTCTATTACTAAAATTACATTTCATATCCTTAGTCTTATTCCTACTTATTTTAAACCCTTTCGACTAGAGTATCCTTCTCCAAAATTTCAACTTATTGTTAATCCTTTCGTCTACTAATACAATATAATTTACAAATAGCATACACCGTAAGACGTCATCTTGAATGTGCCTAATGAGTTTATCCATACTTAAGACAAATAAATATGAACTTAGAGCCGATCCTTAGTGTAATCTCACCGTAATTAAAAATTCTTGACTTTCACCCATGAAAAACTTAATTGTAATGATAACCCCTTCATACATACCCTTTATCACCTCAATATACCTATTCGTCACTCATTTTCTCTCAAAAACCTTCCATATTTATATTGATCTATCTCGTCAAATATAAATAGAGTCCAACAGAGTTCAACATGTGCATCTGCAAAAATGAGAACAATTCCATGTTATTTTCCTTCTCTAGACAAGCCGAAGCCTTTACAACATACTCCAACTCCCGTCCATATAAATGTGATGCAGAGGCTGCTTTGTAAGTTAATAGCGGCAAGTCACCTGTTAATGTTATCATTAAGAAACCAGAAATAAATAAGATAATTATAATAGAGTCGATGCATATCTTGTTGAAATGCAAGCATTAACAGATTGATTTGAAGCAATCTTCACTGAAAGAGGTTTAGCCTAGTGGCAGATCCAAATGCAAATTTGACCCAGTCAAGTGACCAAATTGAACCCGATTTTTTTTGGGTCAACGCAAATCAGACCCAATCCAATCATTAGCAAAAGAAGCAGTTGAAACCAGAGTTATAAATGGAGTTAAAATGCTACATGACAGAAAAATCGAAGATTAGAGGTAAAAAGTGAAAAGGTACCTGCTGCAATTTCTGAAGAAAGTAAGCTGTGGCTGAAATGGCGTGTCAACCACCACCTGCAACGAAACCTCCAAGTCCTTTCAGATACATCATTGGTAAACATTCCCGGAATACCATTGACATGAGAAGAGTACTTTTGCTTGTGTCCGCCTTCATTACAATCCAGGCAAATTGACATTCGATCTTCTTCAGATTGACAAAGCTTCAGGAAGCAAGAAGCAAACTCTTTCCATGTGTTGCATCCTGCATATGTAGCATCTAAATGCAGAGCTATCATTTCCAGCAGTTTTTCAGAGCTATAATCACCTGCATATGTATATAAATTGTTACCCATGAAGAGGCAGCATGGAATACATTAGGACCCTCCAGATTCCGAAGCATGTATAAATGTGAGAAAACATAAATTGAAACTAGAAAATGCATACCATGAATGTATAGGAACAGAATAACCAAAAACCACTACTGACTAGAAAATGCATTTCAAAACATGTTGAAAACTGCCCCAATTCTCAGCAAAAAAATAAATAAAAGAAGTTTTCTCCTGCACGCCCCAAAACCCAACAAATATCTCACACAAAAAAAAGGATAAAACACACAACACATTTTTAGCTTTGGCACTCTACAATTATCCGTACAGAACAGAATCAGGTTCTAAAATTAGTACCTTGTTGATCCATGCTGGCAAGCCTTGACAATGAATGGCTACAAGTTGGATCTTTTTTCAGAATATCCTCATAACAAGTTGAAACTTTGACAATATTGTTACTAGCAAAACGCTCCAAGAGACTAGCTTTCAATCTGCACCCATAAATTTCATTGGGCTAAAGTAACAAAATAAAGAAAGATGTTCCTTCTTTCAATTTCTAAAAGATCCCCGAAGTGATCTACTCTTTAACCGAAGATTGATAATCCACCACCCCCACGCTTCACTTGGAGGTGGAAAGCAATTAGTGTTCCACATATCAGAAACAAAAAATCATAAAGCTACCTTTCAATTTGTTCTGCGTGTGAAATCAGTGAATTTTTTAATATACAAAAGTTCGGGATAACCAATCAAATAGTAATTAGACCATGCATTTTAGGTCGTAGATATAATCATGTGAGAGTGGCTTCCAATTTAAAAATCTGGAAATTCACAATCATCTACCTTACATTTTTCAAATATCTCTCTTTCTTGGCAACCAAATACAATCAAGGTCATGGCATAAATGATCACCTTAAGGGAAGTGCTGTGTTTAAATTATGAACAGAAGTTTCAAGCTCATCTAAGGCCTCCTTCACTCGATCTCCAAGCAGCAGTATCTGGCAAAGTAACAAACCAACTTAAGCACCAAAAGAAAGAAAGCTGGGAGCAGGGGTGGCTTTTGCAAGGTCTTAATGAGAAACAGGCGAATAATAAGTGAAGAAATAAGGGGGGGAATTCTGGCATATTAATAACCAAGCTGCTCAGATGATGGTAATGATTCTACCAACATTTCTGCTTATTAAAATTAGAAAACTAATCAGAAAAGCATTTTCAACAGAGTATTAATCAACAAGGACTTAAATTAACAACCTGCTCGGGTGATGTTAATGTTCTACCAAAGTTTCTGCTCATTAAAATTAGAAAAATATTTCAAAAAAATTTCATTATGGTATTTATCATCAAATACTGATGGATGGATGTCACAATTGCCCATAATGTGTAGTACTCATCATCATCCCCTTGTGGAAATGCATACAAACAAGGAGAAGCAGTTTAATAATTTAATATGCACAACTTCTTGCAATAAAATGCAAATTATAGTCCCTTTCCTTCATAAGCAGTTTAAGGAACAAAGTTATATTTAACAGTAAATCACAAGTAGACAGAATGCATATGATCTAGGGGAACGTGTGGGTAATGATGGCGTGGGCTGTGTTCGTACTATCAGTTTTGAATGTCAGAATGAGGAAGCTCACGACAACAACAATAAATCCATGAAAGTCCAACACAATGAACAGAGATTATGTTGGTTGCAGTGTGCTAGGAAGCAGTATGGTGTGATCATATCATATGTACAGTATTAAATTTGCAGTTTTGTAAACGGTCAAGTTTAAAAATATAACCCTTTTCCATTGGAATCCTTGTTTTGACCACAAAAAAAATCTACCAAGAGTTTACATGAACTCAATGAAACAAATATCTGCATTACCTGTATCAAAGGGAGTAAGGCCTCAAACACTGAAGGTGTTGATTGAAGAGCAAGCTGTAAATACTTCACTGCGTTATTATAATAGTCACCACGTATATTCCTATGCAAATAGATGAGATCCTCTAATTTATCTCCTGAATGAGGCAATCTTAAAGGCAACAACCATGAATCCAGACCTATATTAGCAAGAAAGAAAACAAGTTCAGCATTTTCGATATCTCTCAGTCTAACAAAAATACAGTTCAGCTCCAAAAAGCCAACCCATGATAAAATAGGAAAGAATTTGACATTGTTTGATACAAATATCATTTCATGCAAAATCACACAGCCTCTAACAGTCATGAGGAACTTCCCAAATCAATTTACAAGAGTAATTGGCTTCCAGCACAACGCGCCAGCTAAAAGGAAAAAATTTTGTATCTCATTTACAATATTTGAGTAATCCACCAAGAAATAAAATAGATTCCACATACTGAAACACCTAACACAATGTATAATTAGGGCAGGGAGAGAGAGGGAAATCTGCTAACTAGAACTCATAGTGAAAAATTAAACATCTGATCTATTGTTGGGGGTAGTAATGTTTGAATGATATCTCTCTATTTTGAGTCTGAGATTTCTTTAACTTATTGAAGAGATTTGGAAAACCAAGCCGTACAACTAGTACCACCACTCATTCACCCCTTCTAAAACCTTCTGGAACTGCTTCCTACTGATCTTCTAAACAGACCGCACCATCATTAAAATTTCCAGCACCTTTGAGAGCGTCAATTAGAGTTCAGGTTGTCGATAGTTTTCTAACCTCTGGGCAGAAAACAATTTTTCGGTACCATTCCTTCACTTTGCATCCAATATAAACGTGATACATGATAAGTTTACTTATTTTATAAATTCACATGACTTCATTATTTTTTCAATCAGTGGCTACAAATCAATGGTTATGTATTGAATTCAGTACACTATCAAAATTCTTTTTGTCGGTACCCGAGTGATATTGTCTCAACTCCAGCAAAAGCAAGAAATCAAGTTTGTTTTCTTCTGCATGTGTATGAAATTTAACTAGCAGCGCTCCGCTCCATTAAGTTGTCATATTGAGTAAAGAATTATTCACAACTCAATCAGCCTAAATCTAATCCAGGGTATTTAAAATTAGGAGTATTATAAGGATAGCATATCAAGTAGAGATATATATTGACCAGCCATTTTATATCCACAAATAACACTCAATTCAACTTCCTTCATACAAAATAAAATTCAGACCACAAGGTGGGTATAGTGATAACTTAGGAACCGATAGATGCAACAAAAACATCACAGAAACTAAGGACTTCAAGCACAAATAACCTGGAAGATGTCATCAACATGGATCTCATGTTAACTGCAAAAGATCAAGAAAGTCATCCATTTCTGTAATTACATTCAAAGCTATGCCTCTTTGATAATAATCATCGCAATGTTCAACTATATATCATGGAAGAATTGCTACTTTTCTAGTATCCCATCCTAAAGTTGCTCAATCAAAAGACGTAAATACATAAACCAATATTTTCTACATAACATATATCAGCTAATATGTTAACTATGAGAAAGTAAAGAGAACTTAAAACTCACCACGGGCATAAAAAACAGAACCATAAGGCATACCACCACCTGGACTAGAGGCAGAACATACTTCACGTTCACTGTCTCCACAAGCATTCACGTAGAAACCTTGCGACTGAAAATATGGGCAATGATTTTCTTGCTGCAGCGTATCATCCACATCAAAGGAAACTTCTCTCTGTTGGTCAACATCAACTGCCAAACCTATGTCCTTGTCATTCCTAACAGAGGTGTTTGAGTCACACTGAAAGCGGGAGTTAACTTCTTGAATTTTATTGGCATCATGCCCACCAGAGTTGTCAATTGACATGTCAAATCTAGTTTCTGACATCTCTGATTGCATGGGGTTATAAGGCTCATTGAAATCTCTCAACTGCAGCTCTTTCGGGATAGCAGAATACCACAGCTGGAAAAAAGCCAATCCCACAATCAAATTTGAGATTGGGTCACTCCCAAATCCACGTTCTTGCATGAGGCTAATGGGGAAAACAATAAATTGAATTAGGACCTTGTAATTCAAGTAAGCATATTATTATCTTGAATTTGCAGTCTAAAAGGTATTCACCGTGAAAATCATCAATGAGTAGATAGTACAAAAAGGATTGGTGACTTGCTCTTCTCACCATAAACAAATCAATATAATGAATTATGACCTTATATACTCACTTCTCATCCATACAAGTAAGCATATTATTTTTTGAATTTGCAGTCTAAAAGGAATTCTTCGTGAAAATCATCAATGATTTTAGATAACACAAAAATTGGTGACTTGCTCTTGTCACCATAAACCAATCATATCAGCAGTTAACCCCAAATCTTAGTTGGAGGAAGTCTAAGGAAAGCAGAGATCATCATCCAGGAAACATGCTTCCTCGTACGCAAGTTCAAGGCTACAAAATGAAATCAGACTTTTTCACACATAGCAGAACCAATTTGGAAACGAAGTGATCCAGTGATCCATAATTTTAGGCCTGATTAGAACACAAAGACAGCATTCTGGAGTGATCTTTCATTCTCCTTAGAGCCTGACAAAGATAATTCATCTAAACCCAAAGAGAATCAAGTTAGCTGCATATCAGGGTGATCTATGTTGACAAGCCATTTTACTGATGCATTCCTTTTGAGAATGAAGAAGAGAGAGCTTCTTTTGAAGAGGAAAATTTGGAGATGTGGATCAAGTCTTTTTATGAAAGAATAAAATATTATTAAGGAGAAGAGAAAAAAGCTAGATTATGAAAGCAAGATACCTCCAAAAAAGAGAGAATAAAATAAAATACAAAGAAAATGACAACAAAAACTAAAAGAGAACCACTTTTCAACCCCGTAGATCTTCTATTCTGCAAGAATTTGTTGACAACTACATAGGAATTTGCAATGGAAAAGCTCGTGCTTGTTGTAAAGATTACTAAAAAAAAAGTTGGTCATAAATTTAAAGAGGTTGCTTATATATGGGAACAAATAGACCATGAAGAAAAAGGGGGAAGGTAACATCCAAGCACATGTAGCATGAAAGGAACTCAGATTTCATATTTCATATCACTCAATCTTACAGAGTTTATAGTGAACAAATAAAATAAAATATCTTAACCAAGTAAGCCGACTCTAGCATTTCTACTTACGATTCAAATTCAGAGTGGGAAAGCATGCATACCCAAGAATCTGATAAAAATATCTCTCTATCTCAAATTGAAACTTGCCAACTAAGAATAACAAATCTAAGGACCATTAAAAGTTTGCATGGAGAACCAGCCTATCAATCCCATAGAGAGAAGAAATGAAAACAGAAAAATGTAAAGACCTATCAATCCTATAGAGAGAAGGAGAAGCAAAGAAGATTGATGGCTTAAGAAAGCCCCTCTTGTAACAAGTTAGCACGTATATCCATGTATCCACATCTAGGTGTTTTCCAGAACTTCTCAACTATAGTGTGATCTCAACATATTCATATATTGGAAGGGCACCCCACAAGTTGCTTTATGGTATGAATCAACAAATAAAAGCATTAAAATACAAGGAGATACTTTCAACTCGCTGGCCATTACAGTATAATGAGGGATCATACATTCAGGCTAATATGAATGTAAAATGTACAAAGCATCATACCATATAACACCTTGATACGCATCCTCGGTATTCCCATGTGTAAGACAGAACTGGATGAACTCCAACTGAACCACAAGTCGATCCTGCCCAACACTCTAACTTTAAGGAACATACAAAATATGACAATGATGCAATTAACATCATGGTAAGTGACATGAAGTCTAGAACATCAGAAAGTTTCTGGTTTGGCCTTCCAGTGCCAAGCAATATTAGGCTACTGCATCAGCTGCTCTAACAATGCCAAGTGTAACAAGTTTCCATCAGCAGTAGTTATCTGCAGATGTGTTTGCGCTTCTTACTTTCATTATACTTACTTTCTTTACAAATGGTTTACTTCCAATTTCTTGTGCATGTGCACATTTGCAGCATGGCAATTCCCTATTTTTCATCCATGGAATGGCAGTTCCTGTGGCTATAGAGCTCAATTCCCAAAGATGCATAGCTAAAGAATTGAATCACATTTGATGGTTGACCAAGGAATCATAATAATCATTCCATGAATATTCTTTTATGAAAATATCACATTCTTGCTCTTTGAATTCACATAATAAAAGCACCATAGCCCTAATTCTAAATTTGTTACTTTAATGAGAGGACCGTTATGGCCTCAGAGGTAAACAATAGTAACCATAAAACAAAAGAAAAAACACATTCCTAGTCAATTTGATACAAAAACCACTTAAAAGAAGCACTTCAACTAGAAAGATGGCCACCATATCGATAATCAATTTCATTTTGTTGTCAAGAGACAATATCAGAACAGAAGGAAGGGGGTTCGGGGGGAGGAGGGGGTGTTGGATGAAACTCAGGATATAAACTCTTCAATGATGTATTTTGAAATTTACAACAACGAAGGGCTTATACAGCTGCCCCTCCTTTATTTCTTAAAAGAGATTTTGACAACTGTTTTACCTATTTAATATATCCTAAGACTAAGAGAATGAACATCAATTTTAAACCGACAATTATAAAAAAAAAATATCAGAAGCAAAAGCATAGATTATGGGAAAACATACAGAATAAATTCAAACTGGTACATGTGCAAGCTTATCATACATTAAGACAATGTATAATGCATAAAAAGTATTCCAAACAAGGAACTATGCAACTATACCTGTTTTCATGTACATTACAAAATGAATACAGTAAAAATTATAATCCAAGAAACCAACAAAGATATAACAAATGTAACAGTAATGTTCAGAGTAGGACCCCAGCACAGCCAAGTGTGTTTGAGCATAGCTCATGGTCCTAGATGGAGCAAAAGGGGAAAAGGGCACATATGAACAATGGCACAATTGTGAATAAATGCAGGATTCGAATTTACGATACATTTGTATCCAGGACTGCAAACACATAGCTCCAACTAAAAAACGGACATCCTAGAACGGTTATGGTTTTCAGCTGGCACAAATGTTTTAATATGAACATGTACATAGAAAATGCACGCTAGATCAAAATTACACAAGACTGCTGTATCAGTTCCCAGATTTTCTGCCATAACAAGCATAACCTTGAAGTCATGTAAATAAGAGAGAAAAAAAAAAGGTTTAAGCCAATCCAAGATCCTAACTGAAGGGATAATAGTTGATTTCATCAGCTGATAAGTGGAAATATTAACACCCTACATCAAAGGGATATTTGGCTTCTGATTGGAATCGATTGCAGAAATCAAAGGTCAAAACTAGAAATGCAATTCACCAAGAATGTATCAAGAACCATTCAATTGCCATTTTGTTTATCTTCAGCTATTTATACCCTCCTTTACTGTTTATTTTTTCCCTTTCCAATCATATATCTTTCTGTCATAAAACTTTCCAATCTTATTATTCCTAGACCAAATGGATAAGAAACTTGAAAACCAGTGAATGAGGGATACTTCATGTATCTGTTTGAAAAAAAAGCTCCCAGATTATACCTTCTGTTGTGAACCCGTCATTGATCCAATCTTTTTCATCCACAATTCGTATATGTGCTGGATCTTTCTAGAGCTGACATGGACACCTGTTTTATGCCTGAGAAGCTCCATTGCGGCCTACAAGTATATTCCCGCGTGTATTAAATAAAAATATACATGGTTCTCTCAACTAACGTTCATGATATAGCAAAGAATTCCAGTATATCTTGTCATTCATATTTTATACATTGGAAATTTCCATTTTGCATGGTAAGGCTCTCCTTCCCCCGTTGTTTCAATCACATAGCACATATAGAAATAAATTAAACATAAAATGCATGCAGCTTACATACCAGACAAAGAATTGCATAAAACAAACAACCACACCATTGGAAAATGCATTTGGCCATTATGTATGAAAACTGCATTACCTTCTTCAGAGTTCATTCAATCCATTATACCTACAAAATTAACTCATAGCATGTTGCAGTTATAATTGGCAAAGTCCTAGGAAGCACGAATACGGATACAATACAAATACGACAATATGACAAAACTTAACAAAACAAAGATACATTTACGACCACGATACATTTATAATAAAATATATTTTATATTTTACTATTATTTAACTTAAAAATTATAATTTTTAGTAATTCTTTAACAAAATTAACAATTTTTATCTTGAAAAATGTGTAATATCGTCTCGTTATGATACATCTATGAAATAAACGTGATCACTTAAAGGAATCAGAACCAACATTTAACTAGTTGGTTTGCTTATAAGTATTTGATTTTAAGATTATAGTGTAACAAACTCATTTTTTATACTCTTTTGACATGTAATAATAGATAATACTTGAAAAATACTCGTGACTTCAAACTCAAATTGAATCTTTTTGATATATTATATTGTATGTGATCTCAAAATGGAAGGATAAAAATTAAAATTAAAGTATTCCAATATATTATTAATTATTGAATACGTATGATGTATTCCATACTTATCCTCCAATATCCAACAAATATCTTATCCGATGAGTCAGACATTGAACAGGTATCCGTACTTTAAGGCCAAGTCCAACCCAAATGACAAAATTTGAAAACAACATACCGTCAGTGGACAGCATACACTAGTTTTATAGTCGCAACATCAAACTAAATTATGCATCAACACAAAACCTAGTAACCATGTACTTCTGCTCATAACATGTCTAACTAGGGTTTAGGGTTCAGCCATTAAATCTCATAACCTCAGATATTATGAATTAATCAACCAATGGTGGGTGGTAAGAGGGACGAGCTGTAGACTAGACGTCTGAGTTCGAATCTTGTGACCGGACACCCCCGATAGTTGAAACAAAAAAAAAAAAAAGCTCTATCATACACAGTACCAGAAAATACTTCACCCCCCAACACTTGGTCCAATTCATCCACAATATGGATTGCAGAATTTAGTGTCTAAATATTCATATCTCATTATTTAATTAAAACTCAATTCGGTAAGAACAAAACCAGAGTTACATTCATACCCAATACTTAGTCCGGTTCTTCGAAACGGACTTTTCACGGAGGGTGCCTTTCAGAAGCACGCTCAGCACACCACTCGCTTCTTTCCAATTGTGTTGCCGCACAAGCCTGCGAAGTAAATACCTTAGTCTCCTCCGATTTTCCGATCGTAAGCCCCCGTAATCTACCCGTAAGCTCCCAATCCCTTGCTTTAGGGCATACGATGGTTTGGTCACGGATCGAATGATTCCGTTAATCACCCTACCATTTGATATTTGGTTCACGTAGTCGTGAACACTTTTAAGAGTTCTTGTTTTGTTCTTTTTGGCTTCGATTTGAACGTCTTCGACGTCCATTGTTGAATTCTCAGATATTGTTGCGTAAGTTTGTTGTGGGACGATCGATAACGTGTCAGAGTGAGCAGAGTATATATGTGTGTGTGTGTGTGTGTGGTTAGAGCTGCGGATGAGTGCTGTGAAGAAAGAAACCAGAGAATAAATCGCGGATGGAAGAGATGAGTAAAGAGGAGGAGAAGAAGCTCCGGTGTTACCCGCCGTTCCAAGAGGTTTTTATTGGGCTTGTCTTGGATTTATAATGGCCTAAAGTCCGGTGTAAACGGGCTCAAATAATGGTGGGCTTGTCAATTGGGTTCGTTTGTGTAGGATAGGGTGCAACTCGGACGGATTGATTGAGTTTGAGGTTCAATTTAAACCTAACTTGAGTTATAAAAAGTGAAAATTAAAGGTGGGTCTTCCTAAATAAATTTATAATGACTTGAATTTTGAAAAAAAACTTATTTAGGGGTAAGCTCGTGTTTAAACCTATATGTAAGGACTTAAGTCTACTTATTTTTTAAATTTCAAAATTACCCTCAACGGTGTTAGTTTTGTCCGGTTATAAAAAGTCACATATGTCAGATCATTGATATACATATGAAAACTTTTGATTGAGTTATATATGAAAACCGTTTATTAAATATTATAATAATTAAAAGAAGTTTTATATGAAAATTATATATTCTGATAGTTATATATGAAAAACTTAATGTACAAATAAATTGTTAGTCTATTAAATCAAAATCAGATCACAAAATTTTCTTAACAACAATAAGGTATAATATAGGGAGACTGAACAATGCCAATAGAATTCAGTAACACGAATGTTAATATATAGTAACATTCATGTTACTATATGATTGAAATTACAATTAAAGTTGTGTTAACAGTACAGTCGTGTTACTAAATTGACACTAATGTTATTATAATGAATTTTAACATACAATTGTAAATCTTGAGATGTATATTATATAACATACATTTTAATATTCACAATAACATCAAAGTTTTGTGCTTAGTAATATATTTAATTTTACAAAATATAAGATAATAGTTTTGTTTACAGTAACATCAACTTTCGAATGATTTTAGTAAAAATACAATCCATAAATTAAAAATTTACGAAATGACGAATAGTAACACACAATTAATAGTTGAATTACGGCACTCAACACCAATTGTAAACATCAAGATATCGAAATTCTGAACTCTATTTTTTAGTTCACGTACAGTAACATGAACTTTTTCCATAGTAATACAACCAAGGAATACTCGATTGTCTTGCGTAACAAAAAAATCAACAAAATTGAAATCTATAACAATTTAATTTAGTACTAATGTATGAGTTCTCTTGAATCTTGGTTACTAGGTTAATGCACACTTTGACAAAATTAAATCCCTAATTGTTATTACTTTTTTACCATGTTACTATTTTTTTGTGAGCATGTTACTATTTTTTTAGCGACTATATTACTGTTTTTGTTGAGTATGTTACTATTGTTATTTTTTAAATATTAATATTTTGTCAATGGAGTTCAAAGTAAATTGGAATGATAAATTGAAATTGTATTTTATAGAATGTAATGAGTTTGAAATTTGAATATCAACGATTTTTGATAAATATCAGTTTCTTAATTTTTGGATAAGAAAATATTGTGGCTTGGAAGATTGTAGTCGGATTTGAAGACAATTATAAAGGAGATGTATATGACTAGTTATTGTGTCTATAAATGTCGTTTGGAAGATTGTAGTCAGATTTGAAGGCAATTATGAAGGAGATGTAAATGACTAATTATTGTGTCTATAAACGTCGTTTATAACATTTCTACAATGAAGAGTTACAATAATAAAATTGACAAATAACGAACTTAAAATCAAATAAGTTTTCTTGACGGACTTATTTCCATATAAGTCCATATAAGTGGACCGGGCTCTAAATTTCCATTATAAAAACTTTAACCTTCACTCAACTCCACCCAACTTATAACTCAAATTATTCAACTTAAATATTGTCCAAGTTAATTTTTAAAAATTCGAGTTAAGTAATTCAGACTGATCTGAAGTTATAATTCAAGTTCAACCAAGATCATTGTCATCTGAAAAGACCCCTAAATTCAACCTTCAAACAAACAGAAAACTCTCGAGTCACATTGTTTAGTAGAACACACACACACATTCAACTCAATTTGATGTTTTATTTGGGTTTTCACACACATATACACACAACTATTGTGTGTTTAATTTGGGGTTTTAAATCTTTAGGGTTTTCAAATTGGGTGTTTATTTTGGGTATTAAATAGGGTTTGTGAAAATTCAAATTGGGTGTTTAATTTGGGTGCTAAATATGGTTTGTGAAATTTGAAATTGGGGGTTTTAATGAAATATGTTTATACAGTCTTAAATCGATGGTTGTTAGGATTAATTAGATTCAAATTGTGTGTTAATTGATTTTACTTTCATAATTTCATGCAAGAGGGTTTGTAATGTATACTTTGAGATTGATTGTGTCACTTTCATGCATTCATATACATTATTTTTGTTTGTTATCATACTACTGCTTAAATGTTATTAGGTTTCAATGCTGAGCAAGTTCAAGAACCTAGAGATAGTTGACCTTGGTTTCTAATCTCTGCTCCATGTGAGTTTTGTGTTTTCAAGCTTAAATTACAGTGGGTGGTGTTTGACTTTGCTTACTTCTAGTTTTTAATTAAGTTATTATTTTTATATATTTGTGAAATTTTATCAGTTCTCTTAGTTTGGACTTTACGAGGTCTTGCTACAATTTGGATGTGAAATTGCCAACAACAAAGATCCAAGAGATGTTTCGAGCAATGCATTGTCAATAACCATCAAGAGTGTAGAAGTTGGTGATGTTTAGCATCGATGCTATTCACTTGGTAAGTGATTTCCTTTCTATTTGCATTAACATGATTTTAAAAAGTTGTCACGTATTTGTAAAATATGTATGTGAGATTTTGATAAACCAGATTACTATCTGGTATTATATTGTTTGGATTAAAGTTTGTATGATAAATTAAATTATGGGTTGGTTGTAGTTAGCCATAAAGAAGAAATAATTTTGTTATTGGCTGGATTAATGGTTATTTGAATTTGGTTTGAATGGACTAAGGAAAAAAAATTAGAAATTCATGCATTACCCAATTTATTTTCCATATGTAATCAATGAAAAGGAAGAAAAATAAATTATTATTATAAATGATTATTTTAGAGCATCATCCCCGGTCCTTACCTTTTTTTGTATTTAAATTTAAATTTGGGTAAAAATAGTCTAAAATATTTTTTCAATACCCATATCAAATGAATCCAAACTCTTTTTTAAACCCAAATCAAGGGAGTCTCAATCTATACCAAAATCTTTAATTGTGAGATTTCACCATCTTTTAAAAATCTAATAGTCATATTTTACATTTTTTTAAATTTAGAATTGTTTTCATTTCAATTTGAGTTTCTTCCTTTAAATTTAAGTTTTGCCGTTGGAGAGGTCTATGACTCTATACCAAATCAAGTTTTTTACTCTTTTTTTAACTCTAATTGGGTAAGGATTTGAGTTTCTATTAGAGACGATCTTACCCAATTAGTACTCAATTTTATTTAGAGAAATGTTATTTGTATCTAATTTAGTGACTTTATGTGGCAACATGATGGATTATAACTATTGAATTGATAGTAGGTTCCAACTAACAATGAGGTCCACTTTTAATGTAATGACAGAGAATGATAAGATCATCAAATAAAATTACTAAAAACGTTCATGTAATATTACTGTTTTATATATGTCACTCAGTATTTTTAGGTAAGAATTATTGCTAATTTTACAATACGAAAGATAAGAAGACAATTGACTCAAAAGCAGTGTGCTAAAATAGAAACAGAAATCCGAAAAGACGATCCATTCAAACGTAGCTTGCCAAAACATAAACAAAAATCCAATGATTTCCTGGTGACATTGAGGCTGTGGCTAATCAATAATAGCATAGACGAGGATGAGAGCTAATGGGTATAGCAAGTATGCCAAAAAGGATGTCCAAATAGGGAAGGTGGATTTGAAACTTGCAGTGAGACCCATTACACCACAAACCATTAGAACAATCAGTACTTCAATCGAGAAATGCCACGGCAACCCTCGAAAATAAACCAGGGACAAAAGAACTGAAAACCCAAGAATATTGTTCATGAACACTCCACTGTAAATCTGAAAGCATCAGAAAAAACAAATATGTCAAAACACACTTTTCTTGATTATACAAGAAACATTACCAAGCTTCGAGTTCGATACAGACTTGCTATGCTATGCCATTCGGTACAATTGAAGCCAAGTGAGAGAGCATATATTCACCCCCAACCCCAAACTCCGATTGATAGAATAAGGGGATTGAACAAGTTGATCGAGTTAGGGTATAAGTAAGTAGGATTTCTTGAATAGGGATGGGACCAGAGTTGGCTAGATTTGGCTGACAAGATATTGAGCGTAACGGTGATATTACATGTAGTGTCACAATCCAATAATAAACTTATAAATAAATAAGTGGATCCCACTTAATATAATAACCACCATTTGTAGGTTTATTATTGGATAGTGATACCACTTGTCAATAATGACACGGTATCACCATTACACCCAATATTTACTCATGAAGTGGAGAGGGTTTAAGTTGATACCCACTAATTTTTGGGGTTAATAGTATTTTCGATCTCTGAAGTATACATTTTTTTTAGTTTGGTCCTCATTGTATTAATTTTGTCAATTTAATTCTTAAAGTATTAAACTCATGTCTAAAGGAATGACACGTCATTTCCATTAAAAAACTTGACAGAGTATCACGTGTTCAATACGTAATCATTCCGACAAAATTTAACAATTCATCTATGTAGGGACAAAAATGACACGAATTGAATATTTTAGAAACAAAATTGATAAAATTAATATAAGGAGGACTAAACTGACAAAAAATACATACTTTATGGACCAAAGTGTTACTAACCACAATTTGTATTTGTATTTTTTTTTTTTTTGATATTTATAAAAAAGGTGGGGGTAAAGGATAGCGTCCAAAAACTACCCTAATTGACTCTCACTAATGGGATCACGAGGCCCTTGATCGCACTCGTTACTCCTCTTAAGAACAAATTTAGATAGACTAACATAATAATCAACCACTGAGTCCCAATATGAATTATAAGATTCGAATCTCCAATCTCAGAGTTAGAAGTTCGATCGATACTCCACCCGTTGAAAATTTTTATTAGTGTCTGAAAAAGAACTTATATAATTGTGTCTGAGCCTCCAAATAAACCTACGAAAGACAGAAGCATACCTCGGAAAATGTCAAAGAAGTAGTTCTAGGTTTCTGACGACGAGCCATAGATATCGCTGAAATCGCTACACGAGCATTCGAAGCCAATGGCACCAATACGAAAGAGATGAAAAAAGATGGTACATTAGCAGAGGTGGAGAAATTTTGGACACTCTTTATAAGAGGTTCACCTAGAAATCCTAGCATAACAACTCCAACCACCAAAAGCATTGTAGCCTTTGTCAATTCCCATGGATACCTTGCTATTTTGCTATTCTCTTCCAACATGTCACCTTGTTCTGGTTCTCTCTGCAAACATTTTCAAGTGTGCATATAAAGAGCAGATAAGATATGATAGCATCTGAAGAAAAAAAAAATTTAATCATTGCAGTCAGTTTTCGTTTTGAATGTTTTGGTGCGAAATTTACCTGCTGGTACTCATCTTCTGTAGACTCAGTTGAGGTAGGCGCTTGATTTTTTTTCATCTTGAGCAATTTTGTCCATCCTTTGATAAATTCCTCCTTGTTGATCATTTGATCTCCATTTGCATCCAGTTCTTCCATGATTTGTGCCACTGCTACATCCACATCCCAAGGGATGCTACGAAACTTGATATTCACTACCAGTTCTTTTAATTCTGCTGGCGATAGGTTGTTGTCGCCATTAATATCAAGGCTTTCAAACAACCTGGATATAAACATTTGGGTTACAATTTTTGAGTTTCATTTGAATTGTGTAACATTTTTTGTAAGAATAGAAAGCCTGCAACAAAAATAAGCATATGTTGTACAACAACATAGGCCAAACATTTATAGCAGGAAAGAAGTTCAAAAAGTACTATTTATATTTGAGGAAAAACAGTACCTTTTTATAGCATCGAAATCTGGTTCACCATCATCAGTGTGGAATCTATGCATTGATTCTGTTTGCACATGTTTTAATAAGTCCATTACAATAATACGTTGTTGTTTCACGTATTCTAATTCTCTCTTTTGAATCTGAGGATCGAATATCTGCATGAACATCTCGTACTTAATATTGTCTATGTCGAGTTTAAGCTTGAATGAACTTTTAAAATCGATCAAATTTATCAAACAATTCACTCATATTCAACCAAAAGATTGAAATAAAGTCATAATAATAACATAAAAAGAAGGCCTAATTTAGATACCTGATAAAAGAAGTAACTAAGAACAAACACGACACAAACAATAAGAGCGATGAGGATGACAATGCGTTTTCCAAGAGGAGATAAAGTGAAGACTATAGGGATTTGCATGACACTGAATGGTATTACTGAGAGAAGCATAATTCTTGCACTTTTTCTAGTCTCTGTATCCGTCTTCAAGCTGGATCCTGTAAATAATGAAAAATACACAAGTAAATAGACCAAATTAATAGGCATAGACATTCATATTTATTTTTTTTATAGTCAAAAATTATTAGCTCTAACTTCAAGGTAGTTGAAGTGATAACAAAGACAAATTGAAAACTTATATGTCCTGAATTCAAATATTGGCAATCTTATGGAATCAAATCATAAGAAATTTATTATTCATAAATACAATACTCTCCGCATAGATGACATATTTTGACCGAATAAAAAAAAAAAATTAAACGAAGTGCATGTAAGTCAACCCGTCCGGGTAATTCTAACCGGTAAATAAATTTTTCTTCTTTAATAAGTTTGTCCTTGCGCCATCTTTGAGGCTGTGTCAAGGTCGAGTCATTTCATGTGAAATGGCCACCATGTGTTGACCCGGTCCATAGATAGTCCTAAAAAAGTATTACTGAAGTGGACATATGTACTGCACATAGCTCATAGAAATAAAAAAAAAAAAAAAATGAGCTATGATACTTGAATTTAAAAATTGAATTAATTTATTAATTTAATTAATTATTATCATTAATTTAACAATGAATTCTAACATTTATTAGAATTTACTATTTATTCAATAATTATGATTATTCAAGTCAATAAATCATGTTAATATTTTTTAGTCCTAATAACATTTCTCGAAACAAAGAGAGAAAGGAGTGAACCAGCCAATAGCAATGAGAATTTCTTGAAATGGTTTTGTCCATGGTTTAATGGCCTTGAACTTGGGGTTGGGGGATCAGCTTTGCTGCCAACGGTGACACAAGTCCCCCAGAGTAGAGTGAGATGCAAGATTGTTGATCCTGCTAGCAAGCCAAGTGCGGTTTGGACAGACTCTTGATCACCCTCTTTGTCCTCCACTAGTCCCGTGGCTGGTAGAAAGATAACCAAAAATCAAAACAGAAAATTTAATTACAATCTATTATATTTAATGCTATTGAGATTTAAAAAATTAATCCAATTTATTGAAATAATATTGTGACAATAGTACCGTCCATAGTCAATTTAAGATAAATTAACGTGTTCCTTCTCACAATTAGATTCACTTGTTCTTGTCTCCCGCAATTAACATGTTCTAGAAGAGGTGATTAGCCTATCTCATACTGCTCAAAGTCTTCCTAAACTCATTGTAGGGTTTTATTGCAGTGGAGGTTGTTGTGAGGCGATTCTTGTGTCTATTCTAGGGATTCATCAGGCAAACAAAAAGGAAGAAATTTAACATACCCAAAAGTATCAAGGACTCAGGAAGTGCACCAAGGATC